TCGTGTACGATACCGGTGGTCTCTCGCTCAAGATCTCGGGTGGCATGGTCGGCATGAAGGACGACATGGGCGGCGCCGCTGGCCTCCTCGGTGCCTTCTTGGCGACCGTCACGTCCGGCGCCGCCGGCCCCGAGTTTCCGTTGCACTGCATCCTCTGCCTCGCCGAGAACGCGGTCGGCCCGCACGCGACGCGACCGGATGACATTCACACCATGTACTCGGGCAAGACGGTCGAGATCAACAACACGGACGCAGAAGGCCGCTTGGTGCTCGCCGACGGCGTCGCGTACGCCATCAAGCACTTGAGCCCGGCGTTCTTGCTCGATATGGCGACGCTCACGGGCGCGGCCGGTATCGTCACCGGCGCCAAGATCGGCGCCATGTACGCCAACACGGACGACATCGAGGCGTTTGGGTCGGCGGCCGGCAAGACGTCCGGCGACCTTCTGCACCCGGTGCCGTACGTGCCCGAGTTTTACCGCCCCGAGTACAAGAGTCCTGTGGCCGACATGAAGAATTTGATGGCCAACACGCGCAACGCCGGCGTCTCGTGCGGCGGCCAGTTCATCGCGAACCACATGGCCGACTTTGTCGACGGCGACGGCCAGTGGATGCATGTCGACATGGGCTTTCCTGTCGCGCACGACGACCACCGCGCGACTGGCTACGGCGTCGGGCTGCTCATGGCCCTCTTCACGGACCTCAACGCGTCGGCGACCTTTTAATATGGTGCCATCTATGGACATATCCCCGATAGAGGTAATAGTGCTGGGAATACTACATACACGATGATTGAATACTACGTACTGTCGTCCCTCTGGTCGCGTGGTGACTGCTGTCGATCGGGGCAAGATACATTTTATAGCGGTGCGGCTCCAGGGCGCCACGTGGATTATCCGGATAACGCGTCCAAATGTCGGATACGCGAAATGGCTCGGGAGACCGGACGCGTGGGGCCGACGGTCGTCGCCTTGGATGGCGTGCTTGTGGCGATCGTCCAGTGCACGGCTTCGCCGAGTGACGTACTCGCGTTTCTTCAAGCGCTTGTTGCATCGGCGGTGGAGCTGCCACCAGCGCTATCAGCGCTGCGGGTGCTCCTGACAACGCCGCGAGATCGCAAGCTGGCCCATCTCTGGCCTCGGGTGCACCTTCTGTCGATCGCCGACGACGAGATCCACCTCGTAGCGACGGCCGTGTCTCTCTTTTCCTCGATTGGCATTGACGGCACCTCTAGAATGGATCGTTGGCCGACCAGCAACAAGGCCGTTGGGTTCTTCACCGACCCGTTCTGTGCTTTTATCGCGCCGTGGGCATTCAAGGTGCACACGCTGAGGTTCGTCCACTCGGATCCAGCCGCGTACCCGAGTGACTTTTACGAACTGCTTGGCATGTGCACCAACCTGAAGAAAGCGACGCTCGCGTGCAACTGGATGGCGCTTGCAGCCATAACGACGTCGGCGCATCAGGTCAGGGACCTATCGCTCGTCAACACCGGCGTCAAGGTCGATGGTCCTCGATTTGATTGGACGAGGAGCTTGGACCCGTGGCTCGAGTCGGCCCAAACCAAGCGTTTGCGCCTCTCTTCGTTTCCGTCGACCGACAACCTTGGCCTCGCCCGCGTACTGGCGACGACGCGGACGCTCACGCACCTCCATCTCGATGACGCCAACGACCTCATCAGGGGCTTCCTGGCCAATCGTCTGCCTTTGCGCTACCTCACGCACCTCTGGCTTTTTGCATGCCACGACCTGGTCCTTGCCGACATGACGGCGCTTCTGGACCCCGCTGTGATTCAATCCATTCGCTTTCAGAGCTACTGCCTCGAAGAGATGACCGGTTTTCTCACGGCATTGCCGCTGCTCACACGGCTGAGCGTGGTCGAAATCGCTGGCGTTGCGCTCGGTGGCGACCATACAGCGCCGCTTCCGACCACGAAGACGCTCCGTGCGGCACAGTAAAAGTGTCCGACATCGAAGCTGCTTCAGAGCTCTGCCTGATGAGCGGGTCGGCCGCGCAGTCTATTCTCACGCAACTATATTTTTGCAGGACCAATGGTGCGGTACTTGGCCAACGTCGGGCGGGTCGCACGCGCCACTGCGCTGCCCAAGGTCGTCCTCATTGGCACGAAGGAGACGAACGGCCTGGACCTTGGCTCGAAGATCCTCGCGCAGCTCAAGCGCGAGCATCGTCCGTTGGACCCGCTGGCGCGGCGGCTCTTGGCGCACACGATCGACGAGCTTCGCCCGACCGCCGACGCGCCTGTCTCAGCGCACGTCTACCTGCCGCTCGGCGACGACGATGGCATCGTGAGCTGCACCGTCGCCACGCTGCCGACGGCGATCTCGCGCCACAACGCCTTTGCCCGCCCGCACGCCATCGCGAGCGTCGTGAAAGCCCACCTGGCCGACGCCGGGCGGACGCTCGTGGGCGTGGACCTCCCATCGCACGCACATTTGCAGCCGTGGAACGACAGCCGGCTTTGCCGTCGCGCG